CCTAAGGGGAGGGAGGGGCCCTGAGGGAGATCGGGGGGAAAATGAGGAGATTTTGGGGAAATTGAGGAGATTTTGAGGGGAAAATGAGGAGATTTTGGGGGTTCGGGATGAAATTGAGGAGATTTTGGGGGGTTTGGGGTGAAATTGGGGGGATTTTGGTGTAAAAATGAGGGAATTTGGTGGAAAAATGAGAGATTTTGGTGTAAAAATGAGAGATTTTGAGGTGAAAACGAGGGAATTTGGGGTGAAAATGGGGGGATTTAGGGGGTCCTGAGGGGATTTTGGTTTAAAATTGAGGGAATTTGGGGTGAAAATGAGGGATTTTGTGGTAAAAATGAGGGAACTTGAGATAAAAATGAGGGAATTTGGGGTAAAAATGTGGGATTTTGGGGTGAAAATGAAGAAATTTGGGGTGAAAATGAGACATTTTGGTGTAAAAATGAGGAATTTTGGAGTAAAATGAGGAATTTTGGTGTGAAAATGAAGAAATTTGGGTGGTCCTGAGGGGATTTTGGGGAAAAATGTGGGATTTTGGTGTGAAAATGAGGGATTTTGGGGTGAAAATGAGACATTTTGGGGAGAAAATGAGGGATTTTGGTGTAAAAATGAGAGATTTCGGTGTAAAAATGAGGGAATTTGGGGTAAAAATGAGGGATTTTGGTGTAAAAATGAGGGATTTTGGGGTGAAAATGAGGAAATTTGGGTGGTCCTGAGGGGATTTGGGGTAAAAATGAGACATTTTGGTGTAAAAATGAGGAATTTTGGAGTAAAATCAGGAATTTTGGTGTGAAAATGAGGGATTTTGGTGTAAAAATGAGGAATTTTGGTGTGAAAATGAGAGATTTTGGGGTGAAAATGAGAAATTTTGGGGTAAAATGAGGGATTCTGGGGGGTTCTGAGGGGATTTTGGGGTTCCCCAAGAGTAATTTTGGGGCAAATTTCAGATTTTTAATGAATTTTTGGGGTTTTTCTCCACAAAATGGACAATTCAGGGTCTCAAAGTCCAATTTTGGGGCAGATTTGGGGTTTCTCATGGGGATTTTTTACATTTTTTTCCCCTAAAAGGACAATTTAGTGTCTCAAAAATGCAATTTTGGGGCAGATTTGGGGTTTTCCATGGGTTTTTTTCACCCAAAATCAATAATTTGAAGTCTTTAAGTGCAATTTTGGGGCAGATTTTGTGCTTTTAATGAATCTTTTTTGGTTTTTTCTCCAAAAGGGACAATTTAGGGTCTCAAAATCCAATTTTGGGGCAGATTTTGTGCTTTTAATGAATCTTTTTTGGTTTTTTCTCCAAAAGGGACAATTTAGGGTCTCAAAATCCAATTTTGGGGCAGATTTGGGATTTTCCACTGGGGTTTTTTTGGGATTTCTTCCCAAAATGAACAATTTTGACTCCCTAAGTGCAATTTTGGGGCAGATTTGGGGTTTCTCGTGGGGATTTTTTACACCTTTTCCCCAAAATGGACAATTTAGGGTCTCAAAAATGCAATTTTGGGCCAGATTTGGGTTTTTTAACAGAGTTTTTTCCCAGAAAATTAATAATTTTGAGTCTTTAAGTGCAATTTTGGGGCAGATTTGAGGTTTTCCCCTGGGATTTTTTTATGAATTCTCCCCAAAGCCCCCAAGTCCCTTCCAGAACCTTCTCTCCCCTCTCCAGACACGATGGAGATGAAATTTGGGGCAGATTTGGGGTTTTTTTATGGGTTTTTTTTTGGGATTTCTCCCCAAAATGGTCAATTTATGGTCCCTAAGTGCAATTTTGGGGCAGATTTTGTGCTTTTAATGAATCTTTTTTGGTTTTTTTCTCCAAAAGGGACAATTTAGGGTCTCATTTTTTCTCCAAAAGGGACAATTTAGGGTCTCAAAATCCAATTTTGGGGCAGATTTGGGATTTTCCACTGGGATTTTTTTGGGATTTCTTCCCAAAATGGTCAATTTATGGTCCCTAAGTGCAATTTTGGGCCAGATTTGGGTTTTTTTACCGCGTTTTTTCCCAGAAAAAGCACATTTTAGACTCTTTAAGTGCAGTTTTGTGGCAGATTTGAGTTTTTCCCCCGGGATTTTTTTATGATTTCTCCCCGAGCCCCTTCCAGAACTTTCTCTCCCCTCTCCAGACACGATGGAGATGAAATTTGGGGCAGATTTGGGGTTTTTTATGGGGATTTTTTTGGGATTTCTTCCCAAAATGGTCAATTTATGGTCCCTAAGTGCAATTTTGGGGCAGATTTGGGATTTTCCACTGGGATTTTTTTGGGATTTCTTCCCAAAATGGACAATTTATGGTCCCTAAGTCCAATTTTGGGCCAGATTTGGGTTTTTTTACCACGTTTTTTCCCCGAAAAAGCACATTTTGGACTCTTTAAGTGCAGTTTTGTGGCAGATTTGAGGTTTTCCCCTGGGATTTTTTTATGATTTCTCCCCGAGCCCCTTCCAGAACCTTCTCTCCCCTCTCCAGACACGATGGAGATGAAATTTGGGGCAGATTTGGGGTTTTTAATAAACTTTTGGGGGTTTTTTCTCCCCAAAATGGACAATTTAGGGTTTCAAAATCCAATTTTGGGGCAGATTTGGGATTCTCCACTGGGTTTTTTTGGGGGATTTCTTTCCAAAATGGTCAATTTATGGTCTCAAAATCCAATTTTGGGGCAGATTTGGGATTTTCCACTGGGATTTTTTTGGGATTTCTTCCCAAAATGGACAATTTATGGTCCCTAAGTCCAATTTTGGACCAGATTTGGGTTTTTTTACCGCGTTTTTTCCCAGAAAAATAATAATCTTGAGCTTTTAAGTGCAATTTTGGGCCAGATTTGGGTTTTTTTACCGCGTTTTTTCCCAGGAAAAGCACATTTTGGACTCTTTAAGTGCAGTTTTGTGCCAGATTTGAGGTTTTCCCCCGGGATTTTTTTATGATTTCTCCCCGAGCCCCTTCCAGAACCTTCTCTCCCCTCTCCAGACACGATGGAGATGAAATTTGGGGCAGATTTGGGGTTTTTTATGGGGATTTTTTTGGGATTTCTTCCCAAAATGGTCAATTTATGGTCCCTAAGTGCAATTTTGGGGCAGATTTGGGATTCTCCACTGGGTTTTTTTGGGGGATTTCTTCCTAAAATGGTCAATTTATGGTCCCTAAGTCCAATTTTGGGGCAGATTTGGGTTTTTTTACCGCGTTTTTTCCCCGGAAAAGCACATTTTGGACTCTTTAAGTGCAGTTTTGTGGCAGATTTGAGGTTTTCCCCCGGGATTTTTTTGTGATTTCTCCCCGAGCCCCTTCCAGAAGTTTCCCTCTGCGTTTGCAGGCGCGATGGAGGTGACGGTGGGGACGGCGGCGCTGGCGCTGGCGCTGCTGCTGCTGCCGCTGCTCTACGAGCGCTGCGGCTCCTTCCGCTTCTTCTGCAAGATGGGCTTCTACAACGGCTGGATCCTGCTGCTGGCCCTGCTGGCCATCCCCCTCTGCGCCCTGCGGGGCCGGGACGTCGAGAACATGAAGTGAGAGGGGGTTTTGGGGAGAATTCCGGGCGTTTTGGGTCATTTGGGGGTCATTATGTGTAATTATATGTAATTATGGGTCAGTTATGGGGAGATATGGGTCAGTTATGGGGTGATTTGGGGTGGTTATGGGGAGATTTGGGGGGATTTTGGGGGGTTTTGGGGCTCCTGGCCATCCCCCTCTGCGCCCTGAGGGGCCGGGACGTGGAGAACATGAAGTGAGAGGGGGTTTTGGGGAGAATTCCGGGCGTTTTGGGTCATTATGGGTCATTATGTGTCACTATGGGTCGGTTATGGGTCAGTTATGGGGGGATTTTGGGGGGATTTTGGGGGTTTTGGGGTTCCTGGCCATCCCCCTCTGCGCCCTGCGGGGCCGGGACGTGGAGAACATGAAGTGAGAACCCGTTTTGGGGAGAATTCCGGGGGTTTTGGGTCATTTGGGGTCATTATGTGTCAGTTATGGGGGGATTTGGGGCAGTTTTGGTTTATTTAGGGCAGTTTTGGGGCGATTTGAGGAAGTTTTGGGAGGATTTGGGGCAGTTTTGAGGCAGTTTTGGGTTATTTGAGGCAGTTTTGGGTTATTTGAGGCAGTTTTGGGTTATTTGGGGCAGTTTTGGGAGGATTTGGGGCTGTTTTGGGTTATTTAAGGCACTTTTGGGGCAGTTTTGGGTTACTTGGGGCAGTTTTGGGACGATTTGGGGCAGTTTTGGGTTATTTAGGGCAGTTTTGGGTTATTTAGGGCAGTTTTGAGGCAGTTTTGGGTTACTTGGGGCAGGTTTGGGATGATTTAGGGCAATTTTGGGATGATTTGAGGCAGTTTTGGGACAATTCGGGGCAGTTTTGGGACGATTTGGGGCAGTTTTGGGGGGATTTGGGGCAGTTTTGGGTTACTTGGGGTAGTTTTGAGGCAGTTTTGGGTTATTTGGGGTAGTTTTGGAGCATATTTGGGACGATTCGGGGCAGTTTTGGGATGATTTGAGGCAATTTTGGGTTATTTAGGGCAGTTCTGGGACGATTCGGGGCAGTTTTGGGTTACTTGGGGCAGTTTTGAGGCAGTTTTGGGTTATTTGGGGCAGTTTTGGGATGATTTGAGGCAGTTTTGGGACAATTCGGGGCAGTTTTGAGACGATTTGAGGCAGTTTTGGGGGAATTTGGGGCAGTTTTGGGTTATTTAGGGCAGTTTTGAGGCAGTTTTGGGTTATTTGGAGCAGTTTTGGGACGATTTGAGGCAGTTTTGGGACAATTCAGGACAGTTTTAGCTCAATTCCCCAACCCCAGAGCACTCGTGTCTATCCGTGGGGCGCTGCGGGTCCCGCTATGGGGCTGAGCCCCCCAAGTGTGCCCCACAGGATCATCCGGGGGCTGATGCAGCACGTCAAGCGGCTCTACGGGATCCGCATGGAGGTCAGGGGGGCGCACAACTTCCCCCCACGGCAGCCCTACGTGGTGGTGAGCAACCACCAGAGCTCGCTGGACCTGCTGGGTACGGGGCTGCCCCATAGATCCCTGCCCCACACATCCCTGCCCCACACATCCCTGCCCCACACATCCCTGCCCCACACATCCCTGCCCCATAGATCCCCACAGAGCTCTGAGCTCACAGACTGAGCCAGCCCTACGTGGTGGTGAGCAACCACCAGAGCTCGCTGGACCTGCTGGGTACGGGGCTGCCCCATAGATCCCTGCCCCACACATCCCTGCCCCACACATCCCTGCCCCACACATCCCTGCCCCATAGATCCCCACAGAGCTCTGAG